AAACAAATATTAGCCATTCACTCAAAAATAATAACAGAAAACGAGAGGTATCTGCAGGACGATAGTAATTTAATGATTTGTTGTAAGCAAAGCAAGATCATAAGAATTGGTACCGTCACTGGAGGTTCGGAAATGTTGAAAGCCATAAATCCCCAACTCAATATCATTTGTAGAAGCTTCAATTCCAATGCAATTGAGATTTATTATTCTTATGTATGAATTCGGACGTCATTAAAAGTCTAGAACATAGTCACGAAATTATGGAAGGTTAAACATAGCACAATATCATTACTCAAAAGAATTGTGCAATACCCTCACATTTAACCTACATCATAATAGGTTAGATAGCACGCCTATTCTCAAGTAAAACCATGAAAAATTCTGTATAGGCGAATGGAGAGCAGATCATGAAATTCGGGTTTTCGATAGCTGTGTGCACGCCTGATCCAAATAAATTAGACTTACTATCCATGAGGCGATCAGCTTCCGTTGTAACCGTGTCCAATGGTCGAACACTGATGCGACTATAGTCAGAGGCTTCTGGAGTCGTTTTGCCCAAAGCAACTTCGTCAGTTAAACCGAAATCATCTGAGCCCTGAAGGAAAGGAAGCATGAAGCGAATTACAAAATAATACTGATTTAGATAAAGGCAGACAATGTGATAATGCTATTCTAAGGTATGAAGACTAAGATGGTGTAGCCTCTACTTCGGAAGTAGTCTATTTTTGATACAAGAAGTCGGTTTAACTCTGTTTTCGCAGCTTTGGCCTGCTGTCATCAAAATTAGACTGAAGTAAGGAATATTGAGGAGCATGATCATCAGAAGCCTACGATTAACGGACATGGAGTTCATGGATGAAGAACTGGAAAATTTGACCAGGATATTCGTCGGCAACGAATACCCGAGAGAAGTAATACAAAGAAACATAATGGCCGTGAAGAGCGAATGGCAGGATAGAGATTATGAAGGAAAGATAAGGGTGGAGAAAGACTCACAAAAGTGGATATGTCTCCCTTCCTGCTCAAAAAATTAAGAAAATGGAATATTCGAGTGACCCGAAGAATAAAACAACACTATACATAAGTCAACTCGACCCAAGCCTAGAAGCGCAGCTGGCTAATGCTTTATAAATTAGCATATCACAGGTAATAAATTGGAAGTTTGAAAATCTGTGCGTAATGATTTTATTGCTGTTCTAAATAATTAAGTTCTAGAGCCGTTCCTTTATATTCAAGTCCAGAAAACCATAAAAATCAAAGAGTACGGATATCGTGCAGTTTAAAAATAGAAACCGAATATAGTATTAAAAATGGCTCTAAGATATGGATAAGAGGCTGTTGGTTAAAGTAACCATGTTACTCGTCAGATAATTACATCAGACAAAACTTACGGGAGAGGCGAGAATCAAGGCAGTGGAGCTAAGATCGGCCATTGAATAACCATAAGTATTCGGAAAGTGAAGACTGTGATGCACTGTGTTGTCATGAAACTCCACCTCAATGCTACCGGTTGTCTTAGCACGCCGGTTGCCGTCACCCTCAAGAGTGTCATCAGAATCAGTCAAGTCAGGATCAGCATACTGGATAATAAGTCCTAAATGGTTCCATACCATGAAACGTTCCCGAAAGCCTGTAAGATCAGAGATGTCATATAGATAATATGCGAAAAAAGTAAGGATAACGCCTGGTCATGAAAGTCACTCAATCAGTGTTCACGCTCAAAGGGATAAAAGCCAAGAAAAGGTATGCTAGTATAGATACACTGAGGTCGACAGACATCCTAAGGGATATTTATCTCCATATAGAGAAACATAAAATTGCGTATCCATACGAAAGTAAAGCGAATGATTTGTTCGAAATTGACTTAAGGGTTTAGCCACAACAAAAGCAGTTAAAAGGAAAAAATAAAGAACAAACTGTCTCGATTTAGCTTATAGACTGGTCTCGGAGTGGTCGCTGAAAAGCTTACACAGTGCCAAATAAATGGGCTGATACTTACGCAATACGATTAGAAAGAATAAAAATGCAGTACAAAAATATAGCTAGATTATGAAAATGAAAACCAGATCAAAGCTCAGAGAATGCCCAAGGGCTGCAGGAAATATGCGTTCAGATTAGGCAAAAAAGCCCCATTCTTAAAACCGTTTATTTGGTCGGCCCACTGACAAATTTGAAAGTTAGTTAAACCCTTTGTAACGATTTCAATATAGCGTCGGTGAGATAATGAAGCATATTCTAGTGGCCAAATAACAAGTGAAACTGGATATAGGAATGAAAGAGGATACATGCCAAGCGTTTCAAAAAGTTATGCTCCACCTGTGGGTGTGGAGCCCGGTTGAAAGGCCCTCTGCACTGTCTTAGAAGATCGAAAAGTCGGCTCGTTTGGCATATTTGCTGAGATTATGGGGGCCTTTTTGGAGGCTTCATCGAATTCATTTTCATTGTCGATGAGCTTAGGCATATAGGATGACTTTATCCGCGAGAGATCTATTGAGAGGGCATCGTCATCTTCAGTCGCATCAACATCTCCATCACCAGAATCGTCAGAACCCCTAAAGCCCACACCGGTTGCTCTTCTGATGTCACCTAATGCGGATTCATCATCCGCATCCAAAATACGACTAGATTCGGCCTGAGCTGCCGCCGCCCTCAGTAAGGCATCCATGTCGTCTGGATCTTCATCGTCACTACTCCCGAGGAGGGCAACCATTGCGCCAGGGGACAAACCGGTGTTTTCGAGCTCAGAATTTAACTACAGTGAGAAATAGGATATAGGAACAAGAAGAATCGTCGGATTTTCAAAGTTACATGTGCTTTCACAAATGTTATAATAAACAAAAGATGATAAAAGCGTGGATATAAATACCAAGATGGCGTGGCCTTCTGCTTGGCTGCAACACTAAAAATGATAAGACTCATCATTACTTGAGGTAAAGGATAATGTCAACATGGGAACAGTCAGCAAAATACATGCTTTTAATATAATGAGGCATGGTAAGAAATTTCTTTGCTATTTTAAATAAATTTTAATAGTAAGCATGCATTATTAAAA